TGATTTTGAATTAAAGAAACTCGCTAAGCTCTCTATTTCCAAATATTTACCTGTAAATTCTTCAGGGTTTCTACATTGCTTATGTCATGTGTGAACAGTGATAGTTTTGGTTCTTCCTTCCCATCTAATTTTTTTGCCTCTGTCTTGCCTTTCAGTTTTTGCTGAAACTACTGGTAAAATGTTGACGAGAAGATGCTTTCAAGATTACATCCTAACTATGAGGCTTGCTGTAGGTTTTTGATCAAGAAAACTGTCTCTGTTCCTACTTGTTAGAACTTGGTCATGAGTGCGAAATTTTATCAAATATTTTTTTCTTCATCAGTTGAGATGGTCATGATTTTTCTCCCTTAATCTGTTACTGTGAAGAACTACAGAAGTTATCTTTCCAATGTTAATCCTGCATTCTTGAGATAAACCCAATACAGTCATGATGAATTAACTATTTTGTTTTTTGACAAAATGGGTTTGCTAATGTTTTGTTTTAGATGTTTGTATCTGTTAATGAGTGAGCTTGGTCTACAATTTTCCTTTCTCAAACTTTCCTTATAGGGTTCTACATCAAGATTATGCCTCATGAAATAATTAGAAACTATTCTTTCTTTTTAAACTTCTCTTAAAGAGTTTGTGTGTTATTAGATTTATTTCTTTCTATAGGATTTTGTAGGACTTTCTGGGCTACTGTGTGACTGTACAAATTTTAAATTACTGATTCAATGTTTTTAATGTTTATAGGCCATCTAGATTTGCTTAATTAAAAAAATCAGTACTTCAAAATTTCCTCTTATTATCTTTCATGCATCTATAGTACCTGTATTAATGTCCCATTTTTCATCTTATATTGGTTATGTCTGATTTTAATTTTTTAGCCATTCTATCAGATATTTGAAAATTTAATTGGTCTTCTCAAATAAATAACTTTTGGTTTTGATTCTCTCGTATATTTGTTTCTATTTAATTAATTTCTATTCTTTATTGTTTCTCTTAATTTATTAATTTTATAACTTCTTAATTTTTGTACTTAATTTTCAGCCTTTATTCTTTTATGATATTAAGCATTTAAGGCTATAAATTTTCCTATAAACAACACTTCAGCATCACACACACATGTTCTTATGTTGTTCTTATAATCTGAGTTCTAAATACTTTCTCACTTCCATTATAATTTTTTCTTTGATCTCTAAGTTAGGCTTATATATGTTTTAACTTGTAGACCTGTGGGGGGTTTTCAGGTTCTTTATTGTTGTTTGTGTCTAACTTGCCTGCATTGTCATCAGAAATTGTGGAGAGTATGATACAATAATAGTTCAAAATGTCTTGAGACTTGCTTGCTCTGTATCCTAGAACTTAATTTTTATGAATGTCCTATGTTGCTTCAAAACAATGTATTCTGCATTTGTTAGGTTCACTGTTCCACATAGGACTATTAAATAAACCCAACTTATTGTATGTACTAGTTTGCTAGGGCTGCTGTTAACACAGAACCACAGACAAGGTGGCTTGAACAACAGAAATATATCCACTCACAAGTCTGGAGGTTAGAAGCAAAAGATTAAGGTGTCATTAAGATTGACTCCCTCTGAGGCCTCTCTTTATGGCAGGTAAATGGCCATTTTCTCCTATGTCTCCACATGGTCTTCCCTCTGTGTATCTATGTCCTAATATCCTCTTCTTATAATGACACCAGTTATACTGCCTGAAAGCCCACCCTGAATCTCATTTAACTTTATTACCTCTTTAAGGACTCTCCCTCCAAATATGATTCATATTCGAGGTACTAGGGGTTAGAACTTTAACATATGAGCCAGGGGGTAGGGGGGAAAGAGGTATGTGTGACACAGTTTAGTCCACAACATTGTACTTTTCAAATTCTTTATATCTTTAAAGATTTTTTGGTTTGCTTCATCAGTCAGTTACTGAAGGAAGCATTCAAATCTTCCACCATGATGATGGATTCTTTCTATAAAGTCTGTCAGTTTTGCTTCATATATTTTGAGGCTATTTTATTAGTTTAGAATTTTTATAGCTTTTGGTGAATTGAATATTATATTGTTATGTAGTTGCTCTTTAGCTGTATCAACGCTTTTTGTCTTGTATTTTGTCTGTTAAAATATAGTTACATTAGCTTTCTCTTATTAACTAATTAATTAACTTACTTACTTACTTAGAGTGTACACCTGAGCCAGGGAGGGGCAGAGGGAGAGAGAGGGTCTCAAACAGGTTCCACAGCCAGCACAGAGCCCAATTCGGGGCTCCATCTCATGTCTGTGAGATCATGGCCTGACCAGAATCAAGAGTCAGGTGCTTAACCAACTGAGCCACCCAGGAGCCCCACATTAGCTTTGTTTTTACTAGTGTTTGTGTGGGAAAGATGTTTACATCTTCTCACTCTCAACTTTTTTCATCCCTATGTTCTTTGATGTGTATTTTATAAACAATATATGGTGGGAGGGGTGGAATTTATTCAATTTGAGAACATTTTTCTTTTAAATAGAGTATTACGTCCATTTGTATTTATTGTAATTAATGATATATTTTGATTTTTTCTACTAACTTACTCTTTTGTGAGAGATAGTATAGCACTGTTTTTAAGAGAACAGACTCTAAGAAATGCTGCCTAGGTTTGATTACCAGCTCTATTACTCACTACCTGAGTAACTTGGACTAGTTACTCATAATTAATTATATTTAATTATCATTTTAAATTGACATTTTTTCTGTTTCTCTTTTTTCCTTCTGTTGTAATGATAGATTTTTTGTCATAGTTCATTTCTCTTCCTCCTCTGGTTTGGAAATTATATTCTCTTCTCTGTTCTTTTAGGGTTATCCTAAACATTTACCAAGGATATTTAAGTTATCACAGTTTAAAGTTAATTCTTATCTTTAGCCCCTCCTGAATAATACAAGAACTCTTGTTTTATACATTCCATTCTGATTTATACACCATTGTTGTATTCTAGTTTGATCTTAACTTTAAGCCTCATAAATTATTATTGCTGCATATAGTCAATAATCATTTAGTTTTATTCATGTATCTACCATTTTCTTTACTAATCTTTCCTTTTTACAGCACAAATTTTCCATCTAGTAACACTTTCTTTGTGCCTGAATCACATCTTTTAAATTGAGCCTGTTGGTGGCACAATTTCCATTTTTCTTGTCTGAAAATGCCTTTAAATCAAGGTTTTTAAAAAAGTAACAATAACACAGTTTGTAAACAAATCTAGGTTGATAGATACCCTCTTTTAGCATATTAAAAGCATAATTCCATAGTTTTCTGGTTTCCACATGTGCTATTCAGAGATAAGGTTGCTGTTGAAATCATTGTCTTTGTTGTTCTTTCATGACACTAAGATGTCTTTCTCTTTAATTTATCTTGGCTGGTTCTTGAATCTGGGGATTGGGGTCTTTCTAGAGAATTCTTAGAAGAGAATTCTTGAAGAATTAAATCTTCAAATATTGCCTCTAATCTTTTCTTTATGAAAGTCTTATCAGATATGTTAGACTTCATCACTCTATTCCTCATTTCTTTTAACCTCTTTCATATTTTATTTCTTTGTTTCTCTGTTACAGTCTGGTTAACCTCCTCAGATCTGTCTTCCACTTCATTAATTCTCTCTTTAGCTGTTAACCCCACTCATCAGGTTTTTAAATTTCAGATGTTTTAATCTCAGGTTCTTTTTTAATGGCTTCAAAATCCACTTAGTCATTTAAAAAATACATGTAACTTTTTTATTCTGTGTCTTAAAAGTGTAGGACTTGAAGTCTTTCTGGGTCTGATTTGGCCTTCTGTTGTTTCTGCTAGCTCTCACCGAGTGTGCAATGTTTCTGTGTGTAATCTTTCGATCCTTCCTTCTCAATCTTTCTGTCTCTCTCTCTGTTTTTTACTATGAGTTATGTTTCTTGCAATTTTTTAGTTATTTTTTGAGGGTTTTTCTCTATTTCTCTATATCTCCCCCCACTCTTCATTGTTACCTTGAGTTCATGTTTGTAAGCAATATTTTAATGAGTCTTTGAGGCCTGGGTTGAAGGCGGGGCCATTCTTTTCTGCTAGGTGCTTGGGAGCACATCTTATACTGGACCATTTTAATGGTTTTTTTGGTTTTTTTTTTTTTAATTTATTTCTAGGAGAGAGAGAGAGAGAGAGAGAGACAGCGTGAGCAGGGGAGGGTCAGAGAGAGAGGGAGTCACAGACTCCGAAACAGGCTCCAGGCTCTGAGCTGGCAGTCAGCACAGAGCCTGATGCGGGGCTCAAACCCACAAACCGCGAGATCATGACCTAAGCGAAAGTCGGACGCTTAACCGACTAAGCCACCCAGGCACCCCAACCATTTTAAACTGAACTATCAGCTTGAGGTTTCCTGGAACACAGAGATATTTAAATTTGATCTGCTAATATGTATGCTCATTGGCTTACCATTAAGTATTTGTAGGGGAGCTCTCCTCTGTCACCTCAGCACCAAAACTCAAGCCTAACAAATTTCTTTATAGATTCAGGGGTATGGTGATTTAGAGAGTGATAAGCATTTTGGTATTAGCATCATGTGGGGAGCTTCCTATAGACTTTCAGCTAAGCAAGCTCTAGGTTTTGACCTCTCTACCAATCAGGACCATATATGTAATTGTACACTGAGCAACTTTAGAGGGCATTTTTCATGCAGATATACACTAGAGTCTATATGACATATGTGGTAGACCTGTCCTCATCCCTACAAGACGGCAAGAACTAAAGCTCAAGTTCACCAGGTTCAACAATTGCTTCAGGGTGAAAGCTGGGTTCAGGGCTTTTGTTTTATAATTCTATAACTGATAGAACTTAAATGAAGAGTAAAGATAGTGCCTCCTCCCTTTTGAAGCCCTTTAAAGTGTAGTCATCTTCAATATCTTATGAATTGAATTGGTTTGCCAATCATCATTTCAACAAAAATATCTACCGCTTGCCCCATTAAAGGAAATGTAACATAATAAGAGGGTATTTATTGCTTTGCTTTGTTTATTTTTAGATGTGGACTTTCCAGTTGTTCTCCAGCCTACAAATGCAAATGAGAAAACACAGCTAATCAGAGGAGGACCTCGAAGCTATTGCACAGACTCTTAATATTGCGACCACTGAGGGTCCACAATACCTCCCCTTGGTTCAGTCATGTCTCCAGGTGATCATGGGAGGGCATGGGAGGGGGCATGAAATGCCGTGAACTTTTCTACATTTGTATTTTATTTTTAGGTTAGGGAAAGATGATTGCTACATAGTTTTCTCAGTACGCAGTCTCACTCTTTGAGTTGAATTCCTAATGAAACACACAGCATTTTGATGAATAAAAGCCTGAAGGGTTATTTTATGCTCCTTGCCTGAGGTTGGAAGACAGTGGCACTGGACAGGCTTCATCAGCCTGCCCTTTATGTGACCCAAAGCTAATTCCTCAATGTAGCATTCCAAACAGAAGCCACTTTTCATCTATTTAACTGAACTGCAATATTCCTATCTGCCACAAATACCAGCAAAACATATGAGAATTGTGCATATGTGGAGACTTTTCCCTGTCAATATTCAATACGGCAAGAGAAATATTTCAAGAGGCAGGAAGAAATTATTAGGTAAAAAAGACAAATCACTTAATATTGAAGTATATCTTTGAAAGATTAAAAACTGTCATTTGCTGAAAATTGTTCAGTAATACCAGGGAGAAAGAGGTTTTGTGTGTACTTTTAGAATGGCACAAAAACAAAAACAAAACTTCAACCTGGTTAAATTTGTGATATCTCTGGATTCTGAAAAATTCCCAAACCAGCCCTGAAAAATGTATTGACCATTTTTTTTTAAGTAAAAGTAATTTTTGTACAACTGACTAGACTAGACAAAGCGAGAAAAAGAAACATATAGGATAAAAGGTAGAATTCTGAATTCTACAGCCTAACTTTAGACTTAAAGGCATATCATTTACCCTGTTTTCGGTGGGATTAATTACATCGATCAGAAAATGCTCAGCTCTGGGCATGTTAAACAATTAAGCTCAAAGGTCATGTGTACATTTACTGTTTGATCTTTATATTCATTATGTAATCAAAACCATGTGCTAAAACCATGTTCTAAAATAGTACAGAGAGTGTTGGTTTTTTCTTGGTTCTTTATATAATATTGCAGTTTTCAAGATCTTATTATGTTTTTATATAATACTGCATGAAATGCCATTTTTGTTTTTCTGTTTCTTATTCCCCCCACCACCAAATTACAGTCAAATGAGCCTAAATATACATTGAAAGTGAAATGTGAAAAGTGGTGTTATAACTCTGACAGTTATGAAATCATTAAAACTCTGCTTTACCTCTTGAGTTACTGGATTTTTTTTAAAAACTGATATAATCAAGTAGGAAAAGCCCTGGTTTGAAAGTTAGGAAAACTGGTTCTAATCTAAACTCTCACTACGTAGCCTTGTGACCAAGTGAGATGAGAATATGGTTAACTGCTCTATGACTCCATTTTTTTTCTTAAATAGTTTATTGTCAGGTTGCTTTACATATAACACCCAGTGCTCAACCCCACAAGTGCCCTCCCCCATGCCCATCCCCCCCTTCCCCTCTCTCCCACCCCCATCAGTCTTCAGTTTGTTCTCAGCATTCAAGTGTCTCTCGTGGTTTGCCTCCCTCTCTCCCCCACTATTTTTCCCCTTCTTCTCCCCCATGGTCCTCCGTTAGCTTCCTCCTAATCCACCTTTATGTGCAAACATATGGTGTGTGTCCTTCTCTCCCTGACTCATTTCGCTCAGCATAACACCCTCTAGTTCCATCCATGTTGCTACACGTGGCCAGATTTCATTCTTTCTCATTGCCATGTAGTATTCCATGGTATAAATATACCACATCTTCTTGATCCATTCATCAGTTGATGGACACTTAGGCTCTTTCCATGCTTTGGCTATTGTGGAGAGTGCTGCTGTGAACATTGGGGTACATGTGCTCCTATGCATCAGCACTCCTGCGTCCCTTGGGTAAATTCCTAGCAGTGCTATTGCTGGGTCATGGGGGAGTTCTATTTTTCATTTTTTGAGGAACTTCCACATTGTTTTCCAGAGCAGCTGCACCAGCTTACATTCCCACCAACAGTGTAGGAGGGTGCCCGTTTCTCCACATCCTCACCAGCATCCAGAGTCTCCTGATTTGTTCATTTTAGCCACTCTGACCAGCATGAGGTAGTATCTCAGTGCGGTTTTGACCTGCATTTCCCTGATCATGAGGGATGATCTATGACTCCATTTTCTTATCTGCTCTGACCACCTACCAAGTTGCCGTGAGACAGTTGAAATAGCTGAGGTGAAAGAACTCTACAGAGTCAAGTGATTGGCAAATATGAGGTGGTTTTATGTGAATCTGGATATGTTCGTATAATGTGACTTCTTACATAGATTAAGGAAGATACCCAGTAGTAATGGCTCTCGTGACTAGCAAGTGCTTGGAACTCTGTATTCAACAATCAAGTGCTATTTTCCACTTGATGGGAACATAAGATAAATAGCCCTGTCTGTGGATAATTTGAGCCACATTTCCTTCTCAAAGTCTTTTAAAGCAAAAAGGTCAGGCCTATTTTTGGAGAGCAACCTGTAAATCACAAAGTTCCTTTCTTTCTCTCCCAGACTTCATTTTTCTTTCTCACATGGAATGTTTTACTTCTACTCCCAGATTATCCAGAGAGCTGGTACAAAAGTAGAAAGATGAGAACAGGACATGAATCAGAATCAGAATCAGATGGTAGGATTAAATTCATAACGGGGTCCTTGTTAATTCCCCACAAAGCGTAATTACTGGTTACAATGATGAATGTGTATGAATGAGGAAATGAATCTACAGAATGCCCATTAGCTACATAAAAACAAGGACCAACTCTTCATTTGAGGAGAGGCCCTTTAGGCATCTTGTAGGGATCAACAGAAGCTGCCATCCAGAGTCACCTGCAGTTATTCTGAATCCATAAGCATCTTAGCAGAGAAGCACCAAGAGGAAACATGTTCACCGTGATCCTCATAAAGGGTCTGATGAACCAGCACTTGAGTGGCTTACTACATAGTCCTGGGCTTCAGGTTATCAGAGTAGGGCATTTCATATAAGGTTTCAAAGTTCATCTATTTATTTTTTTTCCTGTATTACATAAGAACATAATAAAAATATGTATATGCATTTTTCTTTACCAAAAAATGTATATTTTAATTCTTTGAGAATAAATTACATTCTATTTCTATGTTTTAAATGGTTTGTATGCTAAAACACATGTGATGTGGCCTAGCCTGCAGATACACCCACCTGTAATGCACTGCCTCATCTTTTGATCTACAGAGACGGTTCCAATTAGGGCTACATAGTCTGTGAGGTTAGCACAATGATGACCCCTCCAAGATGTACTTTTCCTAATTCCCAGAATCAGTGAATATATACCTTTTGCGGTAAAGGGGACTTTGCAGATGTCGTTACTAATGATTCTCAGATGGGGAGATAATCCTGGATTATTAAGTGGGCACAATCTAATCACATGGCTCCTTAAAAATGGACAATCTTTCCTGGCTATGGGAGAGATGTGATGATAGAAGAATGGTCAGAGATCTGCTTTGAAGTTACGGGAAGAAAAGGGCCATAAACCAAGGTATACGGGCAACCTCCAAAAGCTTGAAAATTTAAGGAAATGGATTCTCCTGTAGAGCCTCCAGAAAAGAAATGCAGCTCTGCCGCCACCTTGACTTTTGCTCGGTGACACCATGTCAAACTCCCAGCCTTCCCACTGCATGAGTTAACACTGAATCAGTGCTTCTCACTTGCTTCTTTATCATCCTTACTCCTTGTTCTAGATGTCTTTTTTTTTTTTTTCATTCCCTCATCCTGAATGTCTAACTTCATTTTCTCCTCGGTCTCTTCTCTTCCTTGGTTCTCAGTACTCCACCTTCTTCCCTGTTCTCCTCCCTTCTCCCACTCCTCCCTTTCTTCCATTTGACCCTCATCTGTCTCCTAATCTTTCTGCCAGCCACTACCAATGCCATGTCCAGGGTTCCTGGTCTTTTACATAAACTGAACTATTATAAATCTACTCCCAAGCAGCAGAGGGGGAACAGAAAGCAAATAGTCTGGGTAACAATTTTCATAAAGGAACATCTTTTCCCCCCTCTAAATTCAAGCACAAATGCTCATAATGCTGATAGGCCAAAGGGGAACAGAAATATTTTTCCAACAATTCTTGAGTATATTGACAGACAGAAATAATTCATGTTGACTACATTCATTATTTGAATGTATGGCAAGGTAATTTATTGAGACATTGTGTTTTGTCCTTAGTGAAACTCAAAGGAATGAGGGCTCTCCTTCTGAGATTCGTCTTATAAAGGTCACTCCCTTGCTACTGTGACCTTGGAGGTTAAAACCAAAGATAGAGAGACACCTGGAAGACCACCACCCAGGCTTTTGTTTGGGTGCTTGGGCTATTAGAAGGGCTGTTAGAAAGATATGGGTTGAAATTTGAGGGAGAGAAGCAGCCCCATTGTGAGGGGCCTCTGGACTAAAGATGGGTTTGGGAGTTTGGAGGGGAGCTCCCAGAGCAGCCCAGACTTGTGTCTGTGTTAGAGTAAGCACTCAGTTAGATTCTAGCAGGATACCTGGAAGCCAGCAAAGAGGAAGTCATGGCCAGCTATCAGAGAAGTCAGAGGCCTGTCCAGGCAGCACTCCATAAAAAGCCAGATCACACCAGACAGGCCCAAGATGGTGGGTGCCATGACAGGAAACGCCTGGCCAAATAAGGAAGAAAAGGCCAAAACCCAGCTTCCAAGAAATCCCTGCCCCTAGTAATGAATATTCCACCCCCTAGTAACTGTCAATAAAAGATAGAAACCCAAACCCCAGCATGAACAGCTCTCCTTCTGTCATCGGCTTTCACATCTGAAGAATATACTTTAGCTTTAATAAACTTTCCCACTTGTGTCGTGTTGTGTGGGATACATCTACTGTGTTGTGTCTGTCCTTGAATTCTTTCTCATGAGGAAACCAAGAACCTTCAGTGACACCTTTGGAACAGGATGGGTCTAGGCCCCAGGTCCCAGGGTGTCCCCAGTCCACTGGCAATATCCCCACAGGGACAGCCCCTCTGATGAGATAGCACTTGGAAGCCTGTGTGACAGACACATTTAAGTCATGGCTTCTTAGCCATTACAAAAGATTCCTGTACCCACACCTCGCCCCTCAAAGGAATCATGCAAGGTTGGACACAGAGACCCAGGAGCAACCAGGCTGGAGCAAGATGAGGGGCTAGAAGCTTACTTGGAGGAGGAAGACAGAAACCCTGAGGAAGTTGGGAAGACTCT